GTTTTCTTTTTCTTTTAGGCATTCTTTTAGTTGGACCACCAGGGACAGGAAAGACCCTTCTTGCCCGAGCTGTGGCAGGAGAAGCTGATGTTCCTTTTTATTATGCTTCTGGATCAGAGTGTGATGAGATGTTTGTGGGTGTGGGAGCCAGCCGTATCAGAAATCTTTTTAGTACGTTTTGCTGTATCTTTTATAAAATGCTGAATTTTTCTAATTTTAGGGGAAGAGTGTATCTTACCCTTTTTTGCTAATTGCTTTTGACTGACAGTCAGTTGAAGTAGACACTGTGGGATCTTGGTTTTAGGTAACCTCATATACGAGCTAAAGGAGAGCTGTCTTCCTTTTTTAAAAGTCAGAATTATTAGAAGAGCTAGTGGAAGGTGCAAGCTGACATTGAGAATTGCAAAAAGCTCCTAGCTTTTTTTCATTTTATTCATCGAGTCTTTAGTATGTAATTAAGCAGTAATTAGCATCAGACCTGATTGTATATGATACTTGTGCAGTTGGAAAACTGAATACCCAGTTGTTTTTATTTTATATCATTCTTTTCAGTATGATCTCCCCTCCAACCCCCGCACACCCCAGAGCTACTATTCTTAAATCAGTAAAAAACAGTCTTGCAGGTTAATATTTACTTGGTTTTGTTTGAAAAGTGTTGATATCTTTTACCTTACTGGGATCTTTTTTGTTTTTTTAGGGGAAGCGAAAGCAAATGCTCCTTGTGTTATATTTATTGATGAATTAGATTCTGTTGGTGGGAAGAGAATTGAATCTCCAATGCATCCATATTCAAGGCAGACTATAAATCAGCTTCTTGCTGAAATGGATGGGTAATTGAGTTTTCCTTTCTGTATAGAATATGGTGATGCCTTGTAGCATAATTGTAGTATAATTGATCTGATGTAAATTATTCCCATAAAGCCTTTGACAATATTCTAGACATATAAAAATCGTTATGTGTAGAGGCAATAGGATAGTCCCTCATGTAAGAGGTCAGGACAGGCTTTTCTCTTAGTAGTGTATTGTTTTTTTACTAATTGGGTGTTTGAATATAAGCTCCTCTCATTTAATTTGTGTTATTTATACCTTTATTCACTTGCTATACTTAAGATAGAAAATCAATGAGTTAGCTGAGCCTGGTATTCTATTTGAAGAAGTAAAGGGCATGTATGCTGGTTTCTACACAATCTATGAGTAGTTTTGAGTGTTGTAGATTTAAAACTTATATCAGTGTTCATAATATAAGAAGCAAGAGGTAGCTTTGCTTTGAAGGAAGGATCTTCAAGTCAATGTGAGACATTTTGAAATGAAATGGGAAGTCTGGGAGCAAATAAATTTAATTGATGAAAGTAATTTTTCAAAAATTAATCAGGCCCTCAAGTTTTTCATGTCAAGGTATCTTTTCCCTAGTAGACCAGGTATTGTGAAGATATGTAATTAGAGATGACTGGTGGTTTATTATAAATGCCTTTTCTCAGCTATTATTAAGATTAATAATAAACAATATTATATCAAGCATTGCTATATGTATGCTATGCTTCAATTTTCAGTGAAAAGGTACTCTTTTTTTTCCCTAAATAGTTTTAAACCCAATGAAGGTGTTATCATCATTGGAGCCACAAACTTCCCAGAGGCATTAGATAAGTAAGTATTGAAATAAAACTTTCGTGAAGTACTGTTATATGCTATAAGAACATGCTAAAAGAATCCCGTTACAAAAGATCACATTGTATGATTTCATTTATACAGAATGTCCAGAAACTGAAAATTTATGTTCAAAACTCTGTCTGCCATTGTCTTCCCATCATGTCTTTAGTGTGTCAGTCTTGTTGAATTTGAATTTTAGCATAGTCAATTTATTAATTTATGTTTTCCTTTTGCATTCTTCCTTTAGTGCCTTAATTCGTCCTGGTCGTTTTGACATGCAAGTTACAGTTCCAAGGCCAGATGTAAGAGGTCGAACGGAAATTTTAAAATGGTATCTCAATAAAATAAAGTTTGATCAGTGTAAGTTGAATTCTTTAATACAAATATTATTACCTCTGTAAAATGGTAATATATCCATGTGTCCCATTCGTGTTCCTTACATGATAAGTATATTAAAAGACCAGTTCATTTGTATGTCCTTTTCTCTCCATTTATATGTCCTTTTAAATGTCCTTGCCTAAGCCATGGCACAGTGGCTTATATCTGTAGTCCCAACTACTCAGTATGGTGAGGCAGGGGAGTCACTTAAGCCCAGGAGTTGGAGGCTGCAGTCAGCAATCATTATGCCACCGTACTGCAGCATGGGTGACAGAGCGAGACCCAATATCTATAGAGAATAAAAATAAGAAAACTCATGCCTTAATTAGTGTGTATCCAAGAGATCGCATTGCTTTGAATTCTGTTTCCAAACAAAGGGATTTTTTAGAGTATTCAGATAGATAATATTTGAAGATTAATATATGTACACATTTTTTAAGATGAATGTGAAATACATAATAGTAGAAAAAGCTCTATAAACAGTAGGTGATGATGTAGTCTGTTTGGGGCCAAAGGGGAGGAAAGCCAGCTATAAAACAAAACACATGGAGATATTCTGGACCCACTTGAGCAATAAATGAAGCTGTTAAAGCTGTAGTATTTTGAGAAACAGCCGAATCAACTCAAAATTAAATATGTTTCTTGTAATAAGGGGAGCGTTTACGTCTAACTTACTTCAAGTTGAAATTTGGAAAACAGAATGTTGTCTCTGAATATGGTTTTTCAGTTTGTGGTTAGGCTAGTAACCATATAGGTTATATTTGAAGTTTCTAATTCATATAAGGCAGCTCTACATTTCATTGCTTTTCACAGAGTTATTTAAATTTAAGACCTTTTGTGATTTGTCCCAATGCCAATTTCAGTGGTATTTTGGGGCTTTTTTCCCTAGGAATTTTCATAAATTAAGTTTATTTAAGTTTTACGATAAATGAATTATGGCTGAGAGTCACTGTCTTTTTCTTTGGACCCTGAGTTGTTTTTGATGAGCTTTCTTTTAGCTGTTTTGGACTGTTAGTATTGTGTTTTCTTTTTACATTAGCGGTTGATCCAGAAATCATAGCTCGAGGTACTGTTGGCTTTTCTGGAGCAGAGTTGGAGAATCTTGTGAACCAGGCTGCATTAAAGGCAGCTGTCGATGGAAAAGAAATGGTAACAATGAAGGAACTAGAGTTTTCCAAAGACAAAATTCTAATGGGTAGGTTTTTATGTTTTTTTCAGTCTCTTACTTTTCATTATGTTAAATAATACATTCTTTGTTTTTTTTAGCAGGTATTTTATTCAGACAACTAAAGCCATGGTGGTGTTTAATCTAATCTTACTCTAAAACTTCGATGTCTGGGTATTCAAGATTTACAATAAATAATTTCATAAATTCCCAGTTCGAGAGTCAAATTCCAATAAACAGTAACATTTTCTTAACAAGACCCATCTTGTCAGTGATGTGGAACTGATTTTATAGTGTGGCACATTCATTAGTTTTGTCTTTTTCTGAGAAGACCTTTTTTACTGACTTAAAAGAGAAAAAGGTTAAGAAAAGGAACAGTTTTGGGAACATGAAAATATATAGTTGAAAATAACACAATTTGGCTCTTAAAGAACAAATATATTCTAGTATCTTGGCAGGGCGCGGTGACTCACGCCTATAATCCTAGCACTCTGGAAGGCCGAGGC